AGATTCTATATTTTTAATTCTTTAATTGTCAACATTCCACTAATCATATCGTATATTCTTAGTATTTAAAACTTATACCTTCTACCGTATATTCGAACTCATCCTTTAAACAAATATTTTATTCTTAATTTCACTGTTTCATTGTTGATATTATACCTTTTATCATATATTCGAACTCATCCCTTTAAACAAAAATTTTATTCTTAATTTCACTATTTCATTGTTGATATTCAACCCAACCCGTGTACTCGATTTATTCCCTTCTATAATTTGTAAATCAGTGCACCGAAATGGTTACAAAGTAGAAAATCAAATCTCTTTCGTAAACAATTATACATTTCTATTTCGTTGAGTCTAATAAAGGGAAGTTGACACTACCAATTTTTACATTTAAATACTTAACATTACTATTTATTTTTTCAGCCACGACAGAGTTCAATAATGAGATGCGTTAAGACGTCGATTTCCGATCATTTTTATGCTTTATTAACAAAACATTTTAAAGCGTTAAAATTCGTGCTGTTGTGTTAAATATAATATAATGCAGGAGACAACGTGAAACCATCCAATAAACAATATTTATGTCCAGATATTATTTATTATATTTAATTTTATCTTCATCAAATAGCTGGTTTTTAACTGAGACGTAATAATTTGACTTAGGAAGAGAAGGTTGGAATAAAGAATAAAGTAGTGATTCATAAAAATGTTAAATATTATTATATTAAAACAAATTGTTGGACGGATATTTAATATTTAATCCGTACGGAAGTGGGTGCCAATATAATATTATTATATTATTAAAATAAGTTGTAAAATCAAAAGAAACTTCTCTTCTCTCCCACCATCTCAATGATATCTCCCACCATCTCAATGATAGCTATCAAATAAGCAACTACACATGTAGGTTGCCGAAGCCTCCATTCCCCACCATCTCATGGCCATATCAAGCAGTCATCATGCTCTTCTCCTCCCTTCACCAGGAATGGGTCACATAATCCCTGCCCTGGAACTTGCCAAGCGTTTAGTCACTCACCAAATCATCCCCAAACTCACCTTCTTCTACACCTCAATAAAAAACTCCACTCCCTCCAAAGCTGAAACCCTCGTTCTCCAATCAGCCATCAAGGAAAACCTATTTGACCTAATCCATCTCCCCCCTCTTGACCTCACCAACAAAGTTGATCCCCATGCTTCCCTTGAAAGCAAAATAGCAATCGTAACGCATGAACTCCCACTCCTCTTTGTGTCCACAATCTCCACCATGAACCTCAACCCTACCATCATCATCACCGATCTCTTCTTATGCCAACTTCTACCTCTTGTTCAAAATCTAAACCTACCCATGTTTGCTTTTGTGCCAACCAATGCATGGCTACTTGCACTTGGTCTTCACAGCCCCACTTTGGATAAACAAATACAAGGAGAATATGTCAATGAGATCAAACCAATCTCAATCCCTGGTTGCAAAACCATACACCCCCATGAGATATTCGACATGTTGAAAGACAGGACACATAGGTTGTACCATGAATTTGTTGGCGCATGTGAAGGGGCAGCACTGGCTAATGGGATCATTGTGAACACCTTTCATGAGTTGGAACCTAAGACCCTCGAAGCACTTGGTAGTGGACAAATTACCAAGGTGCCCGTGTACCCAGTTGGGCCAATAGTGAGGGAACCAAGCCCAAGCCCAAGCCCAAGCCCAAGCCCGAGTAGTGATGAGGGAAACAGAAGTGAAATTGTTGAGTGGCTAAACAAGCAAGAAGAAGAGTCGGTGGTATATGTATCACTTGGGAGTGGATACAGTATGTCGTGTGAAGAAATCAAAGAGATGGCTTTGGGGTTGGAACTAAGTGGAAACAAATTTATTTGGTCTGTGCGTCCAACTGTCACCAAAGCCGCCCATGGTCATTATTTCACGGCAGGTGAGTGGTACAAAGTCACCAAACTTTTAATATTTTCAAACATGTTTGGCAGTTGACTTTTCATAAATATGTAGAATTTTGTTTGAAATTTATATTTTGGTGGTTAATACTGTAGTCTCTTCCATTTCATTCTTTAAAAAATATAGTCTTTTTTTTAATCACTGTTTAACAGTGAAATATATTTTTGTTTAAAAATATATCTTGGTGTTATTGAATTTAATGAAATATTTATTTTATATATTTTCTTTACTTTTTCAACCGCTCGGTTTTTTTTTTCACTTTTTCGATCACACTTTCTCTTCAAATTTTTTTCTCAAATTAAAAAATAAATAAATTAAAAATCAACATTTCTCTCTTCAGCTTCTCGAGTCATACATTTTCCTCTAATTCTCCTATCTAATGAGTTTTTTTTTACATATAATAATATTTATAGTTTAATTATTATTATTATTATAATATTAAATTTTAATTCATTAAAATAAAAAGTGTGATAAAAAATACCAACACACACATGTGCATGAGCGCATTGAAGAATAAAACCAATAAAGAGAAATTTATAAGAACTAAACTAAAATTGTCATATTAGCATGTATATCCATTTATTTTAATAATCAGTATAAGAAAAAACAATCACCCTTCACACTTACACCCTATTCCAGCACAAATTTATGAAAAATAGAAAACATAGATAATCCTATGAGACATATGTAAACTTTAGAAATTTGATGAAAATTGGACTTATCAATTGACAATTTAAAAGTATTACAAATATTTAACACATTTAAATTTCAAATATTATTATGAATATATATTCTGGTTCCTTTGCAGGCAGTGAAAACCTTGAAAAATCAAATTCTTTTCTTGATGAGTTCCACCGCATACAAAGCAATGGGATTGTGATCACAGATTGGGCACCACAAATGGATATTTTGAAGCATCCATCTGTCGGCGGTTTTGTGTCACACTGTGGCTGGAACTCCATTATGGAGAGTGTTTCATGTGGGGTGCCAATAATTGGATTGCCTCTTTTTGCAGACCAGATGATGAATGCTAGAATGCTTGTGGAGGACGTTGGCAATGCAGTTCAAGTAGAGGTGTCACCCTCTGCCTACATGGTTGGAAGCGAGGATTTAGCAAAAGCAATAAGGAAGATAATGGATAAGGATGACAGAGATGGGTGTGTGATTAGGGCAAGGGCTAAAGAGCTCAAACACATAGCAGAAAGAGCTTGGTTTCCTGATGGTTCCGCTTATTTTGAACTTTCAAAGATTGGTCACTAAATGACCTCTGTAACTCATTTGGGGTAGTTAGAAGTACTCCTTGATGAAAAAAATATGTTATAAGAAATTGTTAGTATTTTGCTTGAGCTTTTAATATTTATTTATTTTAATAAGTTATGTGTGTAAAAACAATCCCTCCATATAACTAAGTTTAACTTTGTTATCATCTCCAATTTATCTCTCTTATTTGATATACATCTAAAAATATTAAAAATTAAGAAGTGTGATAAAAACTTATTTTATTTATTTATTAACTTTTCATATTTATATCATGCACTTTCTTAAATTTATATTAAAATAATTTAATTTTTTATTAAAACTATTGAAAAGTTGAAAATTATATAACTACTCATATTTTGTATAATTTTCATATAAATAGGAAGCTAGAAGTATAATGATGGGGGTTTGATGTGAGAGAGATTTTGCTATGTAAAAAACATATATATGAAGATGTTTCAACACGTGAGTTGTTAACCAAGAAAGAAGATTGATTGAAAATTATTTTTGATGATGTCCTTATAAAATAGTTAGGTAGTTATGTGAGTAGTTTGTGTAAAGTAAAAAAATATAATCTTTGTTAAAATAAAGAAGGTAAAAAGATAAAAATAATCAATTATGTTAACACTAAATTTGTATTAATCGATTAGATAAGTACTTAATCGATTATATGACTTAAATTCATGTTTTCATAACACGCGCTAATAATCAATTATGTAGTCACTTAATTGATTATATCCCTAAATATCTGTTTTGATATAATGCATTAATAGTCGATTATGTTGGTACCTAATTGTTTATATGACTTATTTTTCGACTATCATTGCTCGCAAATAATCGATTAGATATTATGCTAATCGATTATCTAAGTCGGTTGCAACAAATTTTTACTTTATAAAAGATGTAAACTTTCTTCAATTAAAGATATCTTTTAGAAATTATTAAAGCATAAAAAAATGTGTTAGGCATCAATAAAACATTTGTAATTCTTTAAAACATTTTGAAGAAAATCAAATTCAAAGAAGAAATTACTTGACTATAGGATGCAATATTATAAAAATTTAAGGTGAAATCGTTCTTGTCTTTCTCTTTGTGAATATTTATTGTATTCTGATGTATGTGAGGTAAGCTACATCAAATTAGCTTGAAAATTGTGAGGATAAACATTTTTAAGTATTGTGATTTGATTTTAGATCTTGATTAAAGGTTGTTGTAATCAAGATTTGCATATTAGGTTGTAATCTAGTTACTAAACAAGTTTTAATGGAAAATCTAAGCTAAGGTTACTTGGTTAGACATGATGTAGATTTGAAAGAATCGAACCAGTATAAACTTTTATGTTTTTCTCTTTCTTTCCTTTAACTTGATATTCTTGGAATCTTAATATTGTTCTAATTCTTTTAAAATGTAATTATCGGAAAAAGATTTTTAATAATTGATTAGATTTGAAAAGGATCTACAAACCCAATTCACCCCCTCTTGGGTGTGTTTAGACATTCACATTTTTCTAACAATTGGTATCGAGCTAGGTTATCAAAAGTTAATTGATTTTGTTCCAAAAAGAATGACTAACATTTCTCAAACTTTTTCCGAAGGGGCATCTATAAACAAACTTCCTTTATTTTCTCGATTAAAATTATCCATTTTGAAAAATAAGAATGAAGATTTTTCTTGAATATGATGATAAAGGTGTTTGAGATGTTGTTGTTAATGGTCCTTTTCAATCAACCAAGATTAAAGATGATATGATAATAATAAAAGATTTTATTGAATAGACTCTGATGAAAATAAAAGAGCTCACTATGATATTAGAGCTAGGAATATTATTTCTTCTGCACTAACACTTGATAAATTCTATAGAATCTCTTTTTGTGAAACAACTAAAGAAATGTGGAGTATTCTTAAAGTCACTCACGAAGGAACTAAAGAGGTAAAGAGAGCAAGAAAGAATACTCTTATTCAAGAGTATGAAATGTTTAGAATGAAGACTGGAGAAAACATATATGATGTTCACAAAAGATTTACTCATATTGTAAATCATTTGATGGCTCTTGAAAAGATATTTGATAAAGAAGAATCGAGTCCCAATATTTCTAAAGAGTTTAGGAAGAAATTGACAACCTAAAGTGACTCGCTATTTCGGAATCAAGAGATTTTGCAATAATGAATATGACTACATTGTTTGGGAAGTTAAGGGAACACGAGTTAGAACTTGAAAGACTAAAAAAGAAGAAGAAAGTGAAGAAGACACACGATTGCATTAAAGACTGCTACAAAGAAAAATGATTTTATGCAGAAAATGAAGATGAGGATTCCGATAATGAAAACTTGAATATGTTGGTAAAGAAGTTTTCTAAATTTTTGAAATATAAAAACAAATCTGCTAACAAATCTACCGTAAACTATTCAAGAAACAGGAACAGAGGAATATTCCTACATGTTATGAATGCGTGAAGCACGAACACATCAAGCCGATTGTGCAATATTCAAGATGAAGTAGAAATTATAAGACAAAAAGGAAATCAAGAATTATAAAAAGAAAAATGCATACATTGCTTGGAAGACAATGCTTCAAATAGTTCCGAGTGAGTCAAGTGGAAACACAAAAGAAAAAGAAGCAAATCTTTGTTTGATAGCGAGATACGTAAACATCAAGCAAATTTAGTGTAAGTACCTTTGCATCTAATGATAAAAATAACTATTATCAATTGTTGGATGCTTTTAATGGAATGTATGATAAAGCAAAACAAATTAGCATATTCTAATAACAAATTTAAGAGTGAAAATATATGGTTGAAGAATAGATTAAAACAACTTGAGAATGAAAATGAAAATTCGAAAACAAAGTTAGAAACCTTAGAAAAGAATAGTAAGAATTTTGTGCATGAATGTGTTAACCGTAAGAAACATTTAGAAAGAATCAAGTATGTTATCGAACGCTTTCAAAATTTACAATAGGAAAAACAAACTTAGATGCTATATTGAATTCCTAAAGATGCACTTTAAAATGAGAAGGAATTGATTATAATGCTAATCGATTAGATAAGTCCAAAAGTTTTCTCGAATATAAGCAAATCATTATCCGTAACATGCTTTTACTGTTATGAGATTGAACATACATCAAAACTTGTTATTTTAAAAATTATATATAAGTGGTTACCTAAAGATAAATTGCATGTAACTAATATGAGAGGGCCCAAATTTGATTGGTACCTAAAATAAGCTTTTTAATTTGATTTGTAGAAAAATTTGGGTATCAAAAACTCAATGTGGTATTTGAATAGTAGATGTTCCATTTATATGATAAGTGGTTTAATTAAAGAAATTCAAAAACATCATTCTAAAAGCAAATGGATATGCTACTACCACTAGTACAGTAAATCACTTTTAACATCGGGCTTTCCACATCTGGTTCTTTAAAGAACCGATGTAGAAAGTGAATTCAAGACTTTCAACATCGGTTCCCGGATGAACCGATGTAGAAAGTCTTTTTATAAAATTAAGAGAATTATTACTCGTAAGATTTGAACTCGAGACCTTGAAGTCTGAGGGCGATACTCCAACCACTAAGCTACCAAGATTTTCTCGATAATAACTTATACATAAATTATATTTATATACAAATAAAAATGTATATCCATGTAAATATATAAATACAAATACAAATATATTTATATATTTATATGTTGGATGTGAGAGCGCGCTCGAGAATAAAAGTGTGTGTCAAGTGGGTTTTCAAAATTTGATGTCAAATTTGTGAGCAAGTTTCTTTATATGAATTTGTAATTTAATGATAGAATATAATCTTTATAATTTATTTATAATAATATAGAATATAATCTTTATAATTAATTTATATAATGATATAAAATAAAGAAAAAAATTATTTTATATCATTATATAAATAAATTATAAAGATTATATTTTGTCATTAAGTTATAATCCATATAAAGAGACCCGCCGCAAATTTGACATCAAATTTTAAAAATTCACTCGACACACACTTTCATCCTCGAGAGCGTCCTCACATCTAACATATAAATATATAAATATATTTGTATTTGTATTTATATATTTTATATTTATATATTTACATGGATATACATTTTTATTTGTATATAAATATAATTTATGTATAAGTTATTATCGTAAAATCCTGGTAGCTTAGTGGTTGGAGTATCGACTCTCCAATTCTAAAGTAATTAGAGATGTGTTATGAATAAATAAAATAAAAAAATATTAGACTTTCTACATCGGCTTAGAACCGATGTTAAGTTCTATTTTGTACTAAGTATACGATGATAACAACAAATGAAAAATAAATCACTGCATAATATATGACTCTGCATCAAATACAATTGTTTTCATTGGAAAAGAAATACATAACATTTATATGATTGATTTTGAGTGCACTTCTTTGAGACTGATATATGTTTTGAAATTGATATGTGTTTGATAACTAAAGAAGATGAATTTTGCCTATAACACAAAATACTAATATGTCTCATTTATACAAATTGAATTCAAAATAACTTGTAAGTAGTTCGCCGAAAATTAAGTTTAAAAAAGACACTGTACGAGGTAAAACGATAAACAAGTTAAAATTACTTTAAAATAAAAAATATATGTTTTAAATATAAACTATTATAACTAATTTATATGAATTTGTTTGAACGACCAGAAACATTAATAGAAATTATTATACATTAATATTAATTTTAGTTGATGCTTCTTTAGATTTACTTAGATTCTGTGATTCTAAAAGTGATATTTTGAAAGTTTCTACAAAATTTGCTATTATTGTTCAAAACATGGGATGAATTGGATCCATCAATGACTCACCATTCAACCATTAACTATATCATTCAATGGCTCGACTTGGTTTATAATTTGTCCCGTCTCACAAACAATGACCGTTGCAACTTGCAAAATACGATAAGTAGCTCTGACAGGAATGGGTCCCAGACGGTCGGAAGCGGAGATAATTAAAAAATACATAATTTAAAATAAAAACGGATATTAGTGAAAAGATCGATGAAAACAACACTTACCAAATTGAAGCTTATTATAAGAAATTTTCAAAGAACAATTTGAAGATGGAAATGGAAGGGATATGTTATCTCACAGAATTCAAAATTATGAATAAAATATAATTATTTTCAATTTTTGACAAAGTAATTCTTCAACACGTTTCTTTAGTCATTTTGGTGCGGGAATGTATGTAATTTTTTCTTGTTAGCCTTTTATCTTTTTTTGAATCTTTAGCTTTTTGTTTATATAAAGCGAATTAATTTTTTCATTTTTAAAAGCTTTCTAGACGTGGTTAAGGAGTCTTATTCTTTAATTATCTGTTATTGTCAGTAGTTCTAGAAATTTTTAAAAGTTAATTCATTAAAGCTCCAATTCATAATAATTATCCTCTCATTTTCATTAACCTCGGAATATGATAAAAGAGACTCATAATATTAAAGATTTAACTTTTAAAGATTGGAAATAAAGTTCCAATAATTACTTTAATTATCAGCAAACTTGTATAAGATTTTACTAGAATCCAATCCTAATCATTCTTGCTACATTGCCTTCAAAAATTCATTACTCCTTGAATTACCTGTCGATACCAAGAATGGTTTTGTTGGATTGGCCCACAAATAATTCTGCGACTTCCAAGTTGTAAAATTTTATGAAAGTAAGCATATACACATCTACCTTGCCCAAGCCTCCATTCCCCCCAATCTCATGGCCATCTCAAGCACTCATCACGCTCTACTCCTCTCTTCACCAGGAATGGGTCACATAATCCCTGCCCTGGAACTTGCCAAGCGTTTAGTCACTCACCAAATCATTCCCAAACTCACCTTCTTCTACACTTCAATAAAAAACTCCACTCCCTCCAAAGCTGAAACCCTCGTTTTCCAATCAGCCATCAAGGAAAACCTCTTTGACCTAATCCATCTCCCCCTCTTGACCTCAGCAACAAAGTTGATCCCCATGCTTCCATTAATAGCAAAATAGAAATCTTAATGCATGAACTCCCACTTCTCTTTGTGTCCACAATCTCCACCATAAACCTCAACCCTACCATCATCATCACGGATTTCATGTTATGTCAAATTCTACCTCTTGTTCTAAATCTAAACTTACCCATGTTTGCTTTTGTGCCATCCAATGCATGGTTCCTTGCACTTTGTCTTCACACCCCCACATTGGATAAACAAATACAAGGAGAATATGTCAATGAGATCAATCCAATCTCAATCCCTGGTTGCAAATCCATACACCCCCATGACATATTCCACGTGTTGAAAGACAGGACACATAGGTTATACCGTGAATTTGTTGGCGTATGTGAAGGGGCAGCACTGGCTAATGGGATCATTGTGAACACCTTTCATGAGTTGGAACCTAAGACCCTCGAAGCACTTGGTAGTGGTCAAATTACCAAGGTGCCCGTGTACCCAGTTGGGCCAATAGTGAGGGAACCAAGCCCAAGCCCAAGCCCAAGCCACGAGTAGTGATGAGGGAAACAGAAGTGAAATTGTTGAGTGGCTAAACAAGCAAGAAGAAGAGTCGGTGGTATATGTATCACTTGGGAGTGGATACAGTATGCCGTGTGAAGAAATCAAAGAGATGGCTTTGGGGTTGGAACTAAGTGGAAACAAATTTGTTTGGTCTGTGCGTCCAACTGTCACCAAAGCCGGCCATGATCATTATTTCACGGCAGGTGAGTGGTACAAAGTCACCAAACTTTTAATATTTTCAAACATGTTTGGTAGTTGGCTTTCCATAAATATGTAGAATTTTGTTTGAAATTTATATTTTGGTGCTTATTACTGTGGTCTCTTCCATTTCATTCTTTAAAAAAATATAGTCTTTTTTTTTATCACTGTTTAACAGTGAAATATATTTTTGTTTAAAAATATAGTCTGGTGTTATTGAATTTAATGAAATATTTATTTTTTATATTTTTGTTTACTTTTTCAACCCCTCGGTTTTTTTTTTCTCTTTTTCGATCATACTTCCTCTTCAAAATTTTTTTTCTCAAATTAAAAAAAAAACTTAAAAATCAACATTTCTCTCTTCGGCTTCTCCAGTCATACATTTTCCTCTAATTCTCCTATCTAATGAGTTATTTTTACATATAATAATATTTATAGTTTAATTATTATTATTATTATAATATTAAATTTTAATTCATTAAAATAAAAAGTGTGATAAAAAATACCAACACACATGTGCGTGAGCGCATTGAGGAATAAAACCAACAAAGAGAAATTTATAAGAACTAAACTAAAATTGTCATATTAGCATGTATATCCATTTATTTTAATAATTCAGTATAAGAAAAAACAATCACCCTTCACACTTATTGTTGAATTATTGACAAGCATACCAAAATTAACAATTGCAGTATAATATTTCAATTAAATAAAAGTCGATCCCACGAGAAACAATTTCAAATGAAAATTCTCAATTATATGCTTACTAAGTGGATTAATACAGATTAGGTTTTTCAAATAAGAGTTGAATTAAAATTAAATGACAAAGAACTATAAATTGTTGAGAAAATATCAATTAAAAGTACTTAGGATTGATATCCTTCCTTATCCTCTCGTTGTAATGATTATGTCAATTAAGAGCGTCAATTAACCTAACAATGTTGATGTCACATACTCAATTCATCCATGTTGATTCCCCACACATGAAATTCATAAGAAAACCTAATAAATGTTGATTCCTCACACAATTAAGAGATTTTCCAGTATTAGATTTAGGGTGTTAAGCAATTGACACATTCATTCCATTCTTGGCAATTAACGTAACAAATATTCTTACCAGTGATCTAGGGTTCAAGATATATTTTCCAATCATACCTCAAACAATTAAGAATAAATCATTTCAAAGCATAAAAGGATAAGAATAACAACATCAAGACATATATTAATATATCAAAATATCACCATGATACAAAAGAGTTCAAAGGAAGTGCACCGAATCCTAAGAGAATGAAGTTAACCACTTATGTTGGCCATTACAATGCTCAAATTGTGGAAGAAGTGAAGAATTGATGAAGATTGGATGAAACCCTAGCGAGTAGTCGTGCCTCTTCTCCTCCAAAACCGTATGCTTTTCTCAAAACACATCTTCTCTTTTTATCGGAAAAATTTGGGCTTTTGAGCTTTGCGTCTTTCGCTCGAGCGAGAACTTTCGCTCAAGCGAAAGTAGCCTGTTTTCGCTCAAGCGACAAAACGCTCGCTTGAGCGAATGAACTTCGAGAAGAATAACTAACATTCGCTCAAGCGAATTTTCCTGCGCTTGAGCGACCGACTTCTAGAGAAGAGTAAGCGATATTCGCTCAAGCGAATCTTGTGTCGCTTGAGCGAGTGAACTCTAGAGAAGAATAACTAGCATTCGCTCAAGCGAGAATCCATCTCACTCGAGCGACTTCCATGCTGAAAATCTTCTTCTTTCTTCCAGTTTTACTCCAATTCTGCTGTCAATTATACTCCTTACTCTTGTATCAAGGTATTCTTGAATTTATCCTATATTGGGAGAAAAATAGATTATAATTAGCATCGGTTAAGTGGTTTCATAACAATTCAAGGTATAATTATATCAACTTTTTACCACTTAACAACTCCCCCAACCTAGAATCTTGCTTGTCCCAAGCAAAGTAGTTTTTCCAAAACAAAACCATCGCCTATTATCATTTTCTCTTCCAGAACCACAACATAAAAATTTTCGGAGGTGATGCTCTCAACTCCAAATGAAAATAGAACACATAAGCATTCAAGTTATAGAAACCAACAAAGAATAATTAGTTTTCAACTGTCCTCGGAGAAGCATGATCTCTCAAAAAGAGTTATATATACTCATCTCTAATTCTCACAGGTAAGTGTTTATCTCATTCAATCACTTCATTTAGATAATTCAATATTGATAATCATCTTCAAGCAATCAACATTTGTTAAGAAAGACTTAAATCAAAAGGTCTTTTGAGGCTTGTAATGGGGCTGGACTAAGAAAGAATTATTAGTTTTTCCGGGATATAAAAAAATATTTGAGAAATTCAACTCTTATAAATGATTCTTGATTAACAATTCCTCAAGTAAGGTTTCAAACTTCATGCTTTTGTTCTTAACATAATGACAAGTGGGTTAAATAATCTCACAAGTTATTATTCCCCCTTTGAACTTTTTTTTTTTAATAATATCATCCCAATAATACCCGTAGGACAACAATAACAATACCTAACAATAGGAAAAATAGTGACATTCATACTCATTTCCTTTCTCAAATATAAGAAGGTAGATAAATAATGTTTAAGCTTAAGGGTTCTGTTTAAGAAACAATATTATTTTTGGCTCAGAAGGGGTTCAAATGGATGTCCTATAATTAATGCGAGGGTTGACTATTTGGCTTTGGGTTATATCTACTACAAAGAAAAAAATGTCTTTATCATTTTCAAGTTTTGCCAACATGCAATCACATCAAAGAATCAACCAATATCAGTTATCATTACAAAGTGTTGACACTAAATTTATCTATTTTTGTTACTCTACTCACCTGAGTTTTGGCTAGCTTCTCCAATTCAATTAATTCCTAATTCTCCTCATCAAATTCCTTTTCACTATCATACTCAACATCCCAAAATCACTTGTTATTGGAACAATCAAAATGGTTTTCTTCAGTTCCAGATTTGAATTAGACAATAAACAATAATCTCATATATGACTCTAAACAATTTATATAGGACAACAATCTAATCACACAAATTTTATCATTCATCACATTACTTATGAATTCAAGATATTCAAACAAAACAACTTCAAATTAATTCAAATACACACTTAAACCTCAAATTACTCACTTCAATTAAACACACTAAAATAAAAATAAATAAAAGCTTAAAAATAAAAGTTTCCTCCCTCTCAATCCTCTTCTTCACTTCCTTCTTCAGACCCTTCTTCTCCTGATTCCTCTTCTCCTAATTCCTCTTCTCCTGATTCTTCTTCTCCTGACTCTTCTTCCTCTTATGCTCCCTATTGTGCTCCTTGTGCACCACTTGCACCTTCACCCCCTCCTGGAAAATATGGATTGTCCCCAGGCCATTGAACCAAAGCGTCAAACTCCTGTGGCGACGTCCACTGCATACCTGGAGCAATTTGTAAAGATAAGTTATAAAAGTTTTCATTAATGTATTGCATCATTATTTGAAAGTCTCGGTCGCTGGGGTGGTGGGGGTGGTCGTTGGGCTCCTCTTGGTCTGTGATGGTTGTTGTGCCAATGACTCGTGGCTCCCCTTCTGCAGGGTTCACACGGTGCCGCTCGATGAATCTTTCGTTAATTGGCGGGCGGATGTTCATTGTTGGGTTGACTTCCACACCATGAGCTGCACAGAGGGTTGTTATCAGGGCAGGAAATCCAAGAGCCTTTGCTTGCTCCGCTCGTTGCCCGCTTTCCAACACCACAAATTGATAAATTTATTCAAAAATAATGGCGGCGACGTCAATCATAGTGCCATCCAGAATACAACTAATAATGTGGCATCTGGGCATGTTCAGGTCTAAGCTATGCTTTATGGGAACAATATTAGCCAACAGAAAAGAGGTCCAGATTTGAGTGATTGTGGTCATGTTGGCCCTTAAAATCCTTAAGGCCTTCCTAGCATGGTTTGCCTCATATGTCCTTCCAGGCACGCATAGGGCTCTTGCAGTATCATCATCTCTAAAATGCATCTCAGTAAGACACCTGCTATTCCTGATGACCTGGAAATCACAAATATGGCCCTCCTCCAAGAACAGTGGATTCCCTAACAGATCATTAATGGCGTTCCTGTTGTACGGAACCCATCTACCTCTCACCTTGGAGCGCGCCCTAAATGGCTCACCTTATACTAAGCAAGCGTTGGCATAAAACTCCCTCACAATTTCTGGATCATATTTTGGCACCAGGAGCGCCAACTGCCTCCAATTCCTGCGGGTTATCTCATTATTGAATTCCGGGTACTCTCCTTCATTCAATTCTACTCTCCGCTCTGGAATGAAGGTCCAGTTCCTAATTTTGTCAAACCTTGCTTGCCTCTCAGCATCCCTGAATCTCCTTCTATCAATCTAAATACCTGTAGGCTCAGTTCATGGCCTTTTACCCGCAGTCCTGGATGATGAGGCACCCTGAGATTATTTTCTTGGACCCATCTGCAACATACTCATAGTTAGTCTAATATTTTGATATCATAATGTTACTTAGGTCTAAATGTGAGACTATTGATATATTCAGTTGCACAACACATTATAATTCAAACTTGAACATTTCACCAAACAGTTGGCATGCACCTTATTTTCGAATTTCTATGGCCCTAATTTCTAACATTCATCCTTTCCTCCTTTCATAATTAAGCAAATCATCATCAATTACCTACTTAATATCACCTAAAATTGAAACAAATCTCTTTGAAGCATTTTATCGAACACCTGGCATGCAACATAATTTCTAACCCTTATATAAGCAATCTATGCAGCCAATTCAACCACAAACACCAGTCTCATGATACTTCAACAAGGAAACCACAAAAAACATCTTAAATCTTACCTTAATCGCAGAAATTTGCAGAAGCACAGTGAAAAGATGATGAACAAGTGAAGAGAGTGAAAATTTTGAACTTCGATCGGTGAAATTGAAACACAAACACCACAGGAAACGAATAATGGTGCAAGAAGGGTGAAATTTGTGTAAAAGATGCTTGGATTAGAGAGAAAGTTGCTTGGGTAGGAGTGGGTTCTCGAAGAATAGTTTGT